TATTTTCACTATTATATTATATTATATTATATTATATTATATTATATTATATTATATTATTATTATGCTTGCTTATAAAAAAAATAATCAAAATACTATATACAGTATATGATATATCAATTGTTGAGTTGTGCGTGTTCTCTCCTGTATGTAGGATTTTCAAAATCGGTCACTGATGAAGTTTTATTTCAGTTAGGGTGCTGCCTTAGAAGTCAGCTCCCTATGTAGTGAGCAAGACTGCTCACTAGGTTTTAGACGTGCTTTTTTTTGTCCCTGGCTGTATTGAATTTCTGTATTTATATTCTGAACTGACATGAACACCTGGCTGAATTGATGATAAACCTCTAAGGGCAAAATACCTATGACAAGAATGAATAAACAGTCTCATACAAACGGTTTTCTACACACAACTTTTGGCTCTTTGATGTAGCTTGATATTAAACAATATTGATTCTTGAGGCACGTCAAAGAAAATACACACACATTCACGCACAAGTACCCCTTCCAGCCCATTAATATTTTAGATGATTTGATTACATAATGATAGTTGACTGGTACTTCAGGCAGATTTGATAAGAATGAACTGAAAATGGCTGCCTTGGGTAAAAAAGCCCCCAGCGCCTCTGAAGTGGATAGTTATGTAAAGGCTCTGTCATCCCAGCCTCCATGAGATGGTGTTTACCCTGTCTAATCCCAGTATAAATATTATGCTAATGACTAGCCGGAGCCGACGATAATACGACTCGTAGTGTGCAGTGATATCTTGAGTTGACATGTTTCAGACCCCTCTTGTGTATGAAGGTGAGCTTCATTTCCTCCAAGATCCAAAGAGGATTTTTTTTTTCTGAAGGTTGTTTCGGTGCCATGTTTCTGAATGCATAAAGTGTGACATTTGTATTGCACGGACAAAGCGTGACATTCACATTGTTACAGAGCTGGCCATGCAAGTGTATATGTGCAGTTTATTATTCCACATATATTTTTGTTGCAGTTTGTATTCTGTCATAAGAGTACTTTCATGAGAAACTTCAAAAGCATCAAAGTCTTTTACATTCCCGCCCTCCGATCCCCTTCATATCATGTTTTGATTGAGCAGGAAAATCATTTTCCAACACTCTCTTTTTAAGGGGACCGGGAAATTTTGATCTCTGTGGAGAGGATTTTTTTCACAGGTAGCTTGACGTACTTCAGGAACTATTGCTTTCTTCTCAACGCTGTTGTTTTATTGGGCAAATAAATCAATAGTTATTTTCTGTTGTTATCCAACTCAAGAGGAAATATGAGCACAGTAGGGCAACGAATTGTTTGTTTATGCAGCACACACTAGCTAAGTGTAATTAGAGTTTGGTGAACAGATTTGTGTTTGGGTATTAAAGCATAGCCCTAAATTATTCGTCTAAATCATGATTGTTTGCTCCTTGCTGTGTTTCTATGTAAAAACATGTTTTTTGTCGCTTGTTTTTGAGTGTGTTCCTGTTGCATTGTATTAGTAATTGATTTTCACATTGTTTTTTTAGCGGGTCTAACTGATGTTTACTTAACATTAAAAATATGAGGTATTCAGCAAAGTTGGTGTTTCATATTCTGATTGCAACTTGCTGTGGTTTAAAAATAGCCAGAACCACAAGGTTTTTGTGTGTGTGTGTGTGTGTGTGTGTGTCTGTGTGCATGTGCGTGCGTGTGCGTGCGTGCGTGCGTGCGTGTGTGCGTGCATGTGCGTGTGCGCGTGTGCGCGTGCGTGTGTGCGTGTGTGTGTGTGCGCGTGTGTGCGTGTGACAACATGAGCTGTGTTGCAAAAGCATTCCAAGCAATGCCAAGCATTGTTAGAATAAAATGTGTCATGGCTTTTCAGAATAAATATTAACAATAACACCACATGGAAAGGCCAGTAGATAAATCTATCGACTCACTGACTGTATTCCAATCAGGGTAGCTGGTCTCATTAAATTCAGATGCAATTGGATGAGAAAATGGTTGCATCTTTGCATTGAATCTGGAGAGAATTGAGTTCTAAGAGGACAGTGTATGGGTCACAAACTTAACTAGCTATCAAACAGCACCAACCAAACACATCAGAAATCTTTGTCACATGATAGATAGATGGATGGATGGATGGATGGATGGATGGATAGATTTCTCACCTGGCTGCATTTATTTGATTGCAAATAAAAGTAAAAACAGTAATATTGTGAAATATTATTACAATTTTAAATAACTGTTTTCTATTTTAATATATTTTAAAATGTAATTCATTACTGTGATGGCAAAGCCAAATTCTCAGCAGTCATTACTCCAGTCTTCAGTGTCGTATGATCCTTCAGAAATCATTCTGATACGCTGATTTGCTGCTCAAGAATAATGTATTATTATTATCAATGTTTAAACTGGTTGTGCTGCTTAATATGTTTGTAGAAAGTTTAGAAGAACAGCACTTATTTGAAATACTGTAGATATTTGATTTGTTTGAAATATTTTGTATCATTATAAATGTCTTTGATCAATTGAATTAAGCATGGTCGAATAAGTATTAATTTCTTTAAAAAAAAAAAGCAAGTTAATGTTTGAGTTCATATTGATATCTCTGACTTTTCATTGGTAATGTTATTTTTGCATAACTGACAACAGTTTGGGGCATTGGTGAAATCTCTTTTTTTGAGGAGATCCATCTGAGGAGCAAGTCCAAGCATTGTCCGTTTAATCAACATTTAATACTATTGATGTATAGGGGAAGCAAATGATATTAACTGAGTACACATTTATGATTTTTCTTTCTTGTCAGTAGATGAAAAAGGAAAAGAAATTAGAAAGAAACTCCCTTGTGCTTGTGTTCTGAAATAAACTTATTTACGTGTAAAAAAAAAAATCTATAGGCTGTCAGTGTAATCAATTACAATTTTCTTTCTGTGCATGCCATGAACTTACTGTGAACTTTCTGCATTCCTTCAGCT